GCGTCGGAAGCCAGAAATTCGATCCGATGAGAGGAGATCTTTTAAATGTTTTGCCATTTCCCCCAGCCAACAGGAATATGCTAAGCCAAAAACAAAGCAAGAAAAAAGATTCAAAGTAGAGAAGGAGAGAGCTTACAAGAGGCAAAGACGATAGAGAAGAAAAGAAAGTTGCAGATGTAATTCGGAAAACAGTCCAGCGCCGAGCGTCTAAAAGCGTGTATGTATTTGAAAAGACGTCAAAATTTAAATCACAATAAATAGAAGTGTATGAAGAGGCGGGAAGCTGAAATGATAACCGAGAAGTGTGTTCAGACATTTGCATTGGAATATGGTCAGCCGCCGAATTTTGGCTCTAACTTTTCGAATTCGAAGCCAAACACTCCAGCCAACTGTCGTTAGTGGAGTGCTCAGGGGGCAATTGTGAGGGGCCGAGTATTGGGAATCGTAGAGATTCCGGATAGTCTGACTTGGGAGAGTCAAAAATTAGTGGCACTCGGCGTCAGCTCACATGCTCGAATCCAACCTTACTCAACCACTTCTCCACATATATATATATATATATATATATAATATTTTAAAAAAATGGATAGTTTGGGACCATTTGAATCAATCAATTTTAAGATTTCAAATTCAAAGATCCTAAAAAATATTAAACAAACGAACAGTTTGGCACCGTTTGAATAAATCAGTTTTAAGATTTCAAATTCAGAGATCCTAACCACTAGTTGGTTTATGGACGTTGGGAAACAATTTGAACTTTTGAATTCCCTAGGTTGGTGTCTATTCAAGTTCCATATAAGGAACTCTCTTTAACAGCCCATAGACACCTAAGCTCTACTTGGTTCATTTTTTGAAATAAGTTGTGAGTTTCGAGTTATATTTTGAAAAATAAGTTGTTGAAAAAAGTTATAAAAATTGAAAATTTTTTTGGACATGAGTTTTGAAAATAATTTTGGGATGATCTGTAAATTTTTTGTATTTTTTTTTTTTTTTTTTTTTTTGTAGTTGAATAAATGGGCATGAGATAAAACTTGATTGATTGATGTATAAAATGTGAGAGAATGAGAGAAGAGAGAAGAGATAGAAAAAGTGATTGATTGATTTATTAATATAAATAAAAAAAAAGAGGAGAGAGGAGAGAAAAAATAATTTTTAAAAGAGTTTGGAAAATGTTAACCAAACATGTTTTTTGATTTTTTTTTATCCAAATATTAATTTAAAAACTAAACCAAACATTGCCTTAGTTTTTCCCTGCAAATTTTCTTCACTGTTTTCATTCTGAGTTTTCTGGGTTAAGGTTCTGGTATAGAAAATACCTAAGGAATACAACTTTAGTATTATTTTCTAGAATAAGACATTGTATCCTAAAAATATAATTTCCAAGAGACCTTTTGTATAATAGAGAGGAAATTACTATCTTAAAGAAAACGTCCTGGATGTGCCTTCCTTTGAGTGTTCTGCTTTTCTTCTTTAGTAAATTTGTTTTTCTTTTATAAACAGTTTATTAATTTTTTTTTATACAACAATTTTAAGATAGCAATTATGAATCCTACAATGGTGATCAAGACACAAATTCATGAAGTTAAAAGGCTTGAATGTTTCAATGGCCTTAACTACAAACGTTGAGTACGAAAATCTTTTTCTAACTTATTGTTGCAAAGGTTGCTTATGTGCTTTCGGTTGCCTACCCTAAAATAGAAATGTCTCCTACAACTGATGGAACCAATGCTACTGATGGTACTAGTACATCTGAGGAGCCTTGACAGAAACTCAGAAGAAATGGATGGAGGATGATTATGTGTGACGTTTTATCATTCTCAATGCAATGACAAATGTACTGTTCAACATTTTCCACCAGTATACAACATCATTGGATCTTTGGCATGCGATACAACACAGGTATGTTACTGAAGATGCCGATAATCGGTCTTTCCTAATGTCAAAATATATTGACTTTAAAAGGGGGATTTGGTCAAAATCCTATCATAATAAAACTTTAATGCATTAAGGAAAACACAAAAAGTTTTCCTTGAAAAGTGCAACACATACCACTATTATCAAAATATTAAGGCCTCGTTTGGGAACATGCTATTTTAGTAACTTTTTGGCTTTTTACGAAAAGATGTGCAGAAAAGTAGAGAGGTGATATGACAACTTTTAGTAACTTTTTGGCTTTTTTGCTAAAATAGCCACTCTCCAAACGAGGCCTAAACTTTAAAATAATATAACTTTTGATATAAATGCCGGTTTTAATAAAATTAGTATTTTTAGAATCCTCTCATCAAGATCTATCAAATAAGATCCATAGACTATGAAATCCTTTAAATATATATATATATATATATATATTTACTTTATCCTTATTCAATTATGTGTTTTCTCCTTAGGGGATTTATGAAACAAAAATAAATTGGGCTATTCTTTTTACCAAACAATGGTCCAATAGAGGGGTTTTAGCTAAATTTCTCATTTTAAAATGGATGATACTCGCTCTATTATAGATCAAGTTAATGATTTTAATGACATTGCTACTGAATGTGCTGATACTGGAGAACCAATTTCAGAAACTTTTCAAGTTTCAATTATTATTGGTAAACTTCCATCTACATGGAAAGATTACCAAAGGATTTTAAAATACAAGAAAAAGTCTCTGAATTTGGATGAGTTGCTTCAACATATTCAGATAGAAAGTAAAGCAATACTACGTGATAATCTTGAAAATCCGAGAAAGACTGAAAAAGTTTATAATGTTGAAGAACCGACATCTACCTCTAATAAACATGTTGTCGAGTTTCCTAACAAGAAAAAAAAACTTCTTAGAGGAAGAAAGGCAACTTCACTGAAAACGAGTTTGTCAAAAAGAAAAGTTTTGGATCTCGTTCTGTGTGTGGTAAAAGGGACATCATGCTAAAGATTGTCACCACTGCAAGGGACACAAAAATGGGACTAACATAATGAGCACTAATGAAAACATGATAGCCAAAATTACTGAAATCAACATGGTCAACATGGAAGATGGTTGGTGGATTGATTCCGGTGCAACTTATCATGTTACTCCCTATAAGGATGTTTTTCATTCCTATAGTAAAGTTAGTAAAGAGAACACCGTCTTCACGGAAAATTCTTCTACAAGTGCTATCTTCGGCAAAGGAGTGGTGAAACTTCCTCTCTTCCGACAAAGTCCTTACTTTGCAAGATGTGTATCACATTCCGAGACTTAGGAAGAGTCTTGTGTCTGTTAATAGGCTTGATGATCATGGTTTTAGAGTTGTATTTGATTCCCAAAAAGTGATCATATCTAAGAAGGGATCCTTTGTTGGAAAAGGTTATGCTAAAGACAATATGTATTCTATTAGTCTGAATAAAGATGTTTCTATTTCTGCTTATATGCTTGATTCACATATTAATTTTGTTTGGCATTATAGATTAGGACATATTGGTAATGGAGAACTCGGAAGGAAGAGAGATGAGAGAAACAAACAATACAAAGAGAATGAAGAAAAAAATGACATATTTTGTAAATTTGAAAGGGTGTAAGGGTTATTTTAACTTAAAAAATGGTATACTCTCTATATAGGTGCATGGCTGTCAAAACACGTTAACTTTGATGGAAAAGTTAACGGTACATTTCAGTCCATAAACTACAAACGGTTATGTGGCTGTCATGAAATGATAAGGGGATTATCCGCATATTGGCCAAACCACAAGGGGATAAAGTGAAATTTGCCCAAAACTTATTTATGCTTAGCTAGTGAACAGCCACTTGAAGTAAGGACTGTTGGAATGGCTAGCATGTTTGATAGCTGAAATAAGGAGTCCGGTTAACATGGCTAAAAGAGCTTCCAAGCCAGTTGGAGATGCTCTAACACATCATTTTTTCCCAAAACTCAAAACAATTTCTTTCCTTCCATTGCATCAGGATCACAAAGTTCAATTTTAAAGTTGATCTTAAAACAATTCTCATATGCCAAGCCTAAGGGAAAATGGACTAGCTAAGAAGTACTGACACTTCAAAGAAATAACTGTGTCCATGTCAAACACTGGTTGGATACTTTTTGACATTTGTCCGACACATGTCCAAATGTGTTCTATTGGTTTTTTAGACTTAGACACGCTTTATACATTTGGGGGACACATATGTTTATCGCTTAGACACATGAAATGCATAAAATAGCTTGGGATCCAATGATAAAAGAAAGATGATATAAGCCTTAGGCACATTAATACTTGTAAATCCCTCATTTAGACTCCAGGAATTACTGTTATATTGTATTATTTGTTATCTTTTAATATCATATATATATATATATATATACATATATATGACATTGACATATAATAAATATATGAGACTATATTTTGTGTCCCTTAAAGTGTCATGAGCTGCATTTTTTTTTAAAATGTCATGTCAGTGTGTTCGTGCCGTGTTGCATGTCTGTCTTTCTGTGTACAAAATGCATACTGTATTAGTTGCAAGAAATTCCTATTTGGATGACATATCTTACTTAGAAATTTGTTTGGGCACTCCTACGTAACAAACTCGCTCCTATATTGGAAAAAACTTTCTCCCATAGAGGAAAAAAATTGTTCCAAACTGAGATAGAACCTCTCAAACATACAAATCTCAAAGAAACAAAAGAAAAACTACTATTTATTCTAGTACTTTCTATTTACATAATATTTTGCTTAAACTAAACAAAGACAATTTGTAGTTGATATCAATATTTAATATTTATTTATATTTTAACACATATATACAACTAAGCAGGAAAAAATAATTGGATATATAAAATAAATACACTCTCCCATAAGCGCTTCCAACCAAAAAAACTTCTATATACCATCACTCCCTGCTTCGTGCAAATAAAGGGCTATCTTTAGTACCTAATATGACGGAATCCTTCATATGTTATTGAGGCAAGTGAATGAAAGTTTGTCATCCATGACAACATTATATTGGATCAATCTGCCTGAATTCCTCACCTAAACAATTCATACCATGTAAACCATTGCAGCATTGTAATTTTTTTCTAATATGTATTTGATAGGCATAACTTTCTCTAGTTCTCTTAGCACCAAGCGATAACAAAACCAGTATAATAATGCACTATTGTGGTGCTTGAGTTGGTGGATAAAAGAAAAGAAAATTGAAGTCGCAATTGGCATCTTGAAGTCGCAATTGGCATCATAAGGTTCCTCTTCCCGACTATCCATTAGTCGAGCAAGCAACCAAAACAGCACCTAGATTAATGGCCAACTTTCCATTTGTCTAACAAGCAACCGAATGCACCTAGATAAATCTAATGCTTAACCGTATCCATATGAAGGATAGAAAGGTGGAACAGGCATGAAGGGTCTTTGTGTTCGAAAACCAATATATGGGTTTGGATGCCTTCCTCGATACTGTTTCATCCCTGGAATATTAGTTCGTTTTGAAGAAACCTGCAGAACAGAATCCATTGCATATTAAATAATCATCTCTCTCAGCAAAGTAATTAATTGGATCAATGTAAGTTCAAGGACCTTCAACTAGCAGCCATGCAACTCTGATTCATTCAACAGAAGAGCATTCTGAAAAGCTTCAATTTCCACAAACTCCACATAAGCAAATCCTTCAGGTTGACCAAACTTGTCTGTCAAAATTGTGACCCTGTTGACTGTCCCACAGGATTGGAAGTGTTGTTGGACCTCCTCACATAATCTACCTGAAGTTTAATCATAGTAAAGAGAAAATGATTATTCACTCCTTCACAATGTTTAGTGTTTACTCATAGAGAGATGATATGCTTCAGGAAATAGGAATAGATACCATTAAAGCAAATTACAAAGAGATCCCTAACAATGGAGTAAATCCAAGAGAACTAAACTCGATTAAAGACACTGGAACAAAATTTACTCAAGTTGACAAACTACACCAGTTTTGTCCAACTAGATTCATCATATATAAGTTCTTCAAATTACATTTAAAACACGCAAAATTTACAAAAGAATCTATGACTGACTTAATAGGTCCAACAAATTCATAGGAAGAAGTAGCGTTTCATTTCCCAAATCAGAAACACACCCCAAGATGAATGTCAAGTACACAAAATACAGCAACAATTCCAAGTTATGAAGATTAAACGTTTATTTTCCCAAGAGAACACTTTCTTTTAGTTTAAAACAAATATTTATGATATTAATACATTACTCATCACACAGACAGAGTGAACTTTGCACATCTTTTTCTTTTTTTTTTGGGTACAACAGAAAGTAACAAAACATCAAACGGGACTACGCCCCATCACCCCCAGCCAGGTACAATATCCGCAACTAAAGTGCTACGGATTTCCAATGGCGAGTCATTAACAATAAGCAATTCGGCAGGTTGATTAGCTCCTAATTTTGCTAGAGCATCCGCACAGATGTTTCCTCCCCTTCGATAAGCCATTGATGCACTTCTATAAGCCATTATCTGGATTCCACAGTGACTATTTGAAACCCTTCCTATTTTACTCTAATTCCACACTTGATGGGTTGCATAAAAGTCTCTGATGCACCAAACACATTTCCAGGTATTCTAGATGGAAGTATTCAGCATCAAAACATGTATAATGAATTTGAAACAAACCTAAATGCAATTCTTAACAAATGACAAAATATCTGACTGTGATAAGCTTGCATCAAGATTTAAATGAGCTACATTTCTTTTTAAACCCATCGAGCAAAATGATATTGATAGGCATGTAGAAGATAATCTATCACGTGTGATTATTCACATATGCAACAAGCTACCATGGCAATCACATGGTCAAACAGCCCCATTACATCAATGGACACAAGCATGCTCTAAAATTAAAAGGTTTTATAACAAGGGAGGTGCTATTCCTACTCCACTTTGCTCCAAATAGACTACCTTCTTTGTCTTTATTATACAAAGTTACATTAATACCCTTGAAATTTTAGTTTTTTCAAGGAGTGTATTTTGTGTGAAAGGGTATTAATGTAAGCTACATATAATAAAGGACAAAGAAGGGAATGCATTTGGAGCAAAGTGGGGTGGGACTAAGAAGGGGGGGAAAACTCTCATTTACAACACTTTGAACTGAATGCAAACGGATTTGATAACATAAAATTACTAAATTTAACCACTTTCTTAATTCTTTTTACATAGATCGTCATTTCCTTGGAATAAAGAGATAAAAATTACTAAATTATTTACTCTTTGTTTTTGGTGGAAAGAATCATTTTTTGGGGAAAGTAACAAACAAACAATATATATTCCTCCATGTCAACTATATTTGCTTCTTGCTACTAATTACATAGCAATTATATGATGAGCAACATTTTTCTCATAGCACCACCTCCATGTCAACTATATTCGCTTATTGCTACTAATCACACCATCACCGCCACCACCGTCATCATTATTGCTAATTTGCTATATTATTAATTCTAAGCTCTCTAACAACATCAAAAAGAAAGAACAGAGTGTTCTACTAAAAATAATAGGAGGATGGTAAGATGCATTTCAATATAGGCATTAAACGGATTCAAACAAAAACATGTGATCCATTCCTATGCACAAATCCCACTTCTAATCAATAACCAATCGTACCTATCCTTCCAAACAGTTATATACTGATATAGATATATACACATTGAATAGAGGTAGACCAAAAGCATGCAAATAACAAGGACAGCTCAAACTGTAGACAATATTAATAAGACATAAAAAGAAAATAAAAATGATCTGGAACAAGAAAAAGGATTGTAAAACCTCACATTACCAACATATATGGAGCGTGAATCCACCACCTCCTTTTCAGCCTGAGTAGCAGGACTAGAAGAGTCTTCAGACATGCCCATAATAAAAGTAAAGATTAATGAATTAACATAGAAATGCTGACACCAACAGCATACCTTGAAAAATCTAGATACGAAGGTATTAGGACGAAATGGATAAATTTCTTTTGGCATGATAACAAATGGGCAGTCCAAACATCAAACAACTTTATCCTCAAATTCAAGAATATAAAGTGGCAAGGATCATACAGATAAATTTCTTTTGACATAATAATAAATGGGCAACCCAAACATTTCAAACAACTTTATCCTCAAATTCAAGAATATAAAGTGGCAAGGATCATACAGATAAATTTCTTTTGACATAATAATAAATGGGCAACCCAAACATTTCAAACAACTTACAATGATTTTAACGTGGAAAAAACCACAATTGGACACCTCCAATTGTGATTAAAAAACCACGGGCAACAGCCACAAAATAATCCACTAAGAAGATTTAAAGGAATTACACAGGTATACTCTCAATTATCTAGCGAATCCATGCCTAATTGAACCAACCTCTATGTGCCTCTTCCAACCCGTCTTCACCTCGGAATTGTCTTTACGATGAGCCACCCTGGAATCCACCAAAGCTTCAGGCTCGAATTCTTCAGAATCCACCGAAGAACAACTCTCTCTTTTGTAGAACAAAACACAACCTTTGATGTACTCTCTTTAAACCATGAGTTGAATACTCAATAACAAAACATCGAAGAAAACTAACAAAATATCCCCAGATATAAACCTTAAGAACCAAAAAGAAGATCTGGAGGAATTCAGGAGTAGTCTAGTTTTTGGGAGAAAACCAACTACTTATAGAAAACCAAAAAGTAATCCTAGATTTTGATGAAAACCCAATCCTTATTGAAATCCGAAAAACTGTGTTCGTACGGTCCGCTCGAGCGCCCAACATCCCGCTCGAGCGTCTTCAGTAAAATCTGTGCGTGATATAACAGAGGTCCGCTCGAGCGCTGGAGAACCCGCTCGAGTGCGAAATCACACCTTCCAGTATTTTTACAAGCCTGACAAACTGCTGGAACCAGGGATTCTCCGCTCGAGTGGACAGGCAACTTGGAATGCATTTTTGCATTTTGCTTCGGGGGCGCTGCCCCTCGACCCCGCCGTGGCGCTGCCCTGGACCCGCCAAGGGGCGCTGCCCCTCGATCCCCGTCATAATCAGCGAAGTGGCAATCTTGAAAGCATTAGCATCACAAACTTCTCTGAAAGGCACAATTTGGGCTGGATTCGCATCTAAACACTCATAGCCTCACTGAAATAAAAATGTGAATAAAATTACAACACAAAGGAGTTTTGTCAAACGGGATTGCCAAGAAATAAAACCTAACAATCATTATTGCTAATTTGCTATATTATTAATTCTAAGCTCTCTAACAACATCAAAAAGAAAGATCAGAGTGTTCTACTAAAAATAATAAGAGGATGGTAAGATGCATTTCAATATTGGCATTAAACGGATTCAAACAAAAACATGTGATCCATTCCTATGCACAAATCCCACTTCTAATCAATAACCAATCGTATCTATCCTTCCAAACAGTTATGTACTGATATAGATATATACACATTGAATAGAGGTAGACCAAAAGCATGCAAATGACAAGGACAGCTCAAACTGTAGACTATATTAATAAGACTTAAAAAGAAAATAAAAATGATCTGGAACAAGAAAAAGGATTGTAAAACCTCACATTACCAACATATATGGAGCGTGAATCCACTACCTCCTTTTCAGCCTGAGTAGCAGGGCTAGAAGAGTCTTCAGACATGCCCATAATAAAAGTAAAGATTAATGAATTAACATAGAAATGCTGACACCAACAGCATACCTTGAAAAATCTAGATACGAAGGTATTAGGAAGAAATGGATAAATTTCTTTTGACATGATAATAAATGGGCAGTCCAAACATCAAACAACTTTATCCTCAAATTCAAGAATATAAAGTGGCAAGGATCATACAGATAAATTTCTTTTGACATAATAATAAATGGGCAACCCAAACATTTCAAACAACTTTATCCTCAAATTCAAGAATATAGAAAATCAAAGTGGTAAGGATCATATCAAGCCCTCTACAATAGTCTACAAGAATGTACACTTCCAAATAAGTGACATACTTAAATCAAACAGTCGAAAATACTGGTATGAGTATTGATACTCATGGGAAACTAATGATCTATCATTAAGTTTGTCCATGACTATTGATGAAAAAGCAATATCACAAGCATTATATGAAATGCATTAATGCATGTATTTATGATGGCAGTCAATTTTTTTCCAATGTTAGAAGAAACCTCCGAAGAATGTACACTTCCAAATGAGTGACATACTTAAATCAAACAATTGAAAACACTGGTATGAGTATTGATACTCGTGGGAAACTAATGATCTATCATTAAGTTTCTCCATGACTATTGATGAAAAAGCAAGATCACAAGCATTATATGAAATGCATTAATGCATGTATTTATGATGGCAGTCAATTTTTTTCCAATGTTAGAAGAAACGTCCTAAGCTCTCTGTTTGATACAAATGAAGGTTCTTACCACTAATTTGTGTATTACATATTTAAACACAGATATATAGTTCCCTCATCTAATGATTAGCACTATAAAAGTCTTTAAAATTCAATAATTAAAAGTGACATTGTCCATAGTGGAACAAAGTTAGTCCCTTGAGAAATCACTGATTATCAGCTATAGTTTCATTAGAAAATATTAAATACTGGGGGGGTTAACAATGGCAATGCAGCCAACATGCCTCCTAGTATAAATAGGAAAAAAATCCCTATTTAATAAAATTACTGTATAATACTCTCCAGTACATTCCTCCTTTGAAACATATTCACAAATGACTTAATCACTCATGTTATAGAAGAACACTAAGAAGTATGGATACGGACACGGACACGTGACACAACACGAATACGACACAGACACGCCGCCATGCCAATTTTCAAAAAATATAGGTCACGACACTTGGAGGATGTGCATGAAATATATAATTTTAAATATTTATTATATGTCATATATAAGAATATATCATTCAAAGATAATAAAAAAATAAAAAAATATAACACTTAGTTTTTTAAATTTACATTGTTTTTGTTTTATTATTATATCTTAAGTTATTTAGTTTAAACTTATTCATGTGTATCCAATCGATGGACACGTGTGTCCTCTAAGTGTCCGAAGAGTGTCCGAATTTTTTATTTTTTATTTATAAAAAAAAAGGACATGTTTTGACGAGTGTCAAACACGTGTCGGGGACGTGCTTCTTAGGAAGAACATATCAAGCCAAGTGTGGAGATGTCCAATATTTGCTTTGTCAAACTAATAAAATATTCAAACTTGGGTCTAGGAGATCGTATATGACCTAGCTCAAACTTGACAGTTCGAAGTCCACCAAAACTCAAGCTTACCTTTAGCTATGCCCAAATGATTAAATGAGCTACAAATATTTTTCTTCCTTTATCTTAATTTAAGATTTAAAAAAATAAAAATAAATATCAATATAAAAAAAAATTACAAGCAAGTTGATCTAAAGAATAGAGCAAGAGAGAGAGAGAGCATACTCTTAAAGGTTCGGCTGAACCATGAAAATAAAGAGCGGTGTGTCTTCAAAACCGATTGCCCTCTTTGCCTCATCCTTTAGGGTTTCTATTTTTCTAGTCGATCTACGGAAGTTGATCTAAAGAAGCCAAAGGAAGATATAGAAGGTATTGTTGTTAACACAAATTTGATATTGGAGTTAACAGGTGTGTTGCGCAAATTAATTTGATTTTCGACTTGAGAGGTAAATTAATTTGATTTTGGAGTTGACAGGTGTGTTGGTCACATTAACCCTATTTTGTCTAGGTTAGCCTCTTAAAATAGTTCAGCCAATGCATCTAGGACATGATTGTAAAGTTTATAGTCTACAACTACATGTAAATTGGGGATTGGATCAAAGAAGAAAATATATGGAAGGAAAATAAATTCTAAGCCAATCAAATGCTAGAATGATTCCGCTTCACTTGAGATAAATAACTCATTTTCATATATGTAAAGGGTGTTTCCTTGTTTTTCTCGATTCCATTTTGTGTTGTTCGGTCTTGTACCTAAGTTTCTCATTTAAGATCTTTACGTCTATTCTAATTTATAGTCAATCTCATAAATCTTTTAACTTCGATGTATTCTTGCATTTCCATCTTTTCTTCTTTGATCAAATCCCCAATATACACATAGTAGAAGACTAGAACCATTAAAATCACATCTAAAAAACACGGTCCCACCTAAGGTTGGCCCCATCTATCTTAAGAGCCTAACCTAGACAAACTAGGGTTAACTTATGAACAACTCATTAAGAAGTGGGTCCAGCCCAAAGATAATAAGGTTGAAGCTCATTTCTTTAACTATTAAACAGGTATAAACAAACTCGTAGTCTAATAAAGCCCAAGCTACTCATGGATAGCTTGATTCTTGGAAGCCTACTCATATAAGGAATGAAACATCACATAGCTTGTGTCATCTTTGAGCATTGATGAAGAAAATTTGGAAAGTTTAAAATGAAATTAACACCTAAAGATATAGCCACAATTGGTAAATGTAGCCAAATGTGAAACATATATTATAAGCTACTTTTCATCCCTTAAGATTTTATTTTTTTTGTAGCTATGAATTTGGAACATTCGAAGGCTTATATGACAAAATTTCAAGATTTCAAGAACACAGCTTAGATTCTGAAACAATTTTCAACAAATGAAAAAATTTTATAGTGTGCCTCAATGGGATGAAGACCATTTTGGTTGGCAATATGTGATTCACGCACAATGCACATGATTGTCACTTTAATACCTCTGAGTATTTACATATATGAGGAGGGAGTTGTGGCATTTGTAATAAATTTATCAAAATTAGGGGAAAGAGGGAAGAAATATATTGTTTACCCTCAAACTTGGAAATAACAAAATAATATAAATGGTGAAATCAATACTTTAAAAGGAAGGTGACACCAAATGGGTGTTCCATTTATAGTATAGTGCAAATATTGTTTGCCAAACTGGACGCAAAGAGATAAATGATATACATAAGATTCTCTAGCAAGGTTTAAAATCCTGACAGAATCAACAGGCGTATTGATTGTAAACCAGACCTTTTTTGACTTATCACACTTCAATATCATGTTTTTGTTCAACTCATTTAGGCATGCTTTTAACATAGACTTGGTGATGCAACGTACTTTTTAAGGTTTTCATATATCATTATTCACTTCATTTTTTATATAGATTTTTAAAGCATAACAAGACCCTTTTATTTTTAGCTCAATTCTTATTTTTATATAAAATTTATATACTACACGATCTAAGCTATTGAGGGAATTAAAATTTTCTTTAATGTAATCTTAACGTACTCATAGTTGTCAAATTGCGAGTGTCATAAAATATGTAAATTCTAATTTTGAGAATCGTGAATTAAATTGAATCGAGAATTGTAAGATTCAACATTTTAAACTATAAAATAAAATATGTTGAACAAATATGGCAAAAAAAAAATTAAAAAATTGATTTTAGCACATGTTATACAATAGTTATTATATAAAGGCATAATTACAGTGTCTAAGAATCTTATAACATTGAGCATACCTCCAAAACCCAATAAATATGAAGTAGCAACATTAATGGTAAGTTAACAACACTTTGCATATTTGAACAATTCATCATCAATTTCAATTTCCTCAACATCATTAATGCTAATTCATATTAATCACTGACCAAGTACAAAGCGAAGAACCAAAAAAACTATAATTGAACAATTCATCCAACTCTGTTGTTGATACAAAAGTAGCATAACTAAAGATCGATCAGGAACAGAGATAGAGGACCTTGAACGGTGCCCATTTCCTTTTCAACTTTGGATTGCATTTCGCGAAGGGCGCCTGCTTCTTCTTCAATCTCCTTGAGTGCCTTCTTCATGTCCTCCAAGTCCTATTCAACATCAAAATTAGGGCAAATTACATATGAGTAGAGAGAGAGAGAGAGGACCTTGGAGTTGAGATCGTCGTCTTCAGCCCTAGACATATCGACATCGGCATCCATCTCTCCTTCATCGGGAATTTCCTCCGCACACTTCATGTTCCTGCTCTAGCTCCTCATGCTCCATCTCTCTCTCTCTCTCTCTCTCTCTCTCTAATCTCTCTCCGTGGACACGAAGAAAAACAGGGCATGGATTGAGGGACTTTTCCCAAACTAAGCCTCTTTTGCCTCCTATTTCCCAAACTAGGCCTAGTTTTGACGGAATTCCCAAACTAAGCTAAAGCGCTATTACAAATCGTGCTTTAACTGTTTGGAGGCCAAAATTTGATGAATAGTTAAGGTGCTATTGTGAATCGCGAGTTTAATTAATAAAACGCTGTTCGGAATAGCGATTTTAAATTATTAAACGCTATTTCTAATAGCGCTTCATTTTGAGAAAACGCTATTCAGAATAGCGACTTCACTGTGCATCACCTTTGTGAATAAAACGCTATTTCTAATGGCGACTTCACTGTAGCTAAATGAAAACGCTAATTGAAAAAGCGTTTTTCACACTGCTATAAAAAACGAACCCCGTCATTTGCATTCATGTTTTTCACACTTACATTTTTCATCTCTGCTACAGACTCTCCATCTCTCACTCTCCATCTCCCTCTGCTCTCAGACTCACTCGATCTCGCTCTACTTCGGCTCACTATCACTCTCCCTCTGCTCTCTGCTCTCACCCTGATCTCTGCTCTCTGCTCTCTCTCTCTCTCTCTCTCTCTCTCTCCGTGGTATGACAGTTAACCCTAATTTTATGTATTTATTTTTTGTGTTTGTGAAAATGTGATGTGTTTTAATTTGCTGTGAATGTTAGGGTTTTATATGTGAATTATTAAATGTGTTAGGGTTTGGAATTTTTTGGTTTTGGAATTTTTTGAATTTGTTTGTGGAATTAGGGTTTGGAAATTAGGGTTTGTGGAATTTTTTGAATTTTTTTTTTGAAATTAGGGTTTGGAATTTTTTGAAATCAAAAATCAGGGTTTGGAAATCCGAAATCAGAAATGTGAATGCTTTTGAATTTGTGGAATTTTTTATGCTTTTAAATTTTTGGATGTTGCTTTTGAATTGAATATTTGGGTTTGGATTTTTTACGCTTTATCAGTGTGGTTATGAAATTAGGGTTCTAATAATAATTGTTGCTCGATATCAGATTGTTCACACATCCTTTTAAAATGACATTTTAGGCTTCACATTATTAAGGGTTCTATTGCTTGTGAATTTTTATGCTTTTGAATCATAAATCAGGTTTGGAATTTTTTTAATTTTTTAAATTTTTTAAATAAATGGAAATGGAATTATGAAATTCATATAATTGAGAATTGAGAATTGAAATTATGAAATGTTTATATTTTGAAATTTGAAATTAGAAATTGGGATTTTGAAATTATGCATGAGAATTGAGAATTGAAAATTGGAATTATGAAATTCATAAATTCATAAATCATAAATATGTTAATGTCATATTATGAATAATTGTGAATTGAGAATTGAGAATTGAGAATTGAAATTATGAAATGTTTATATTTTGAAAGTTGAAATCAGAAATTGGGATTTTGAAATTATGCTTGTGAATCAAAATGTCTATATTTTGAATTTTGAATAAACCAACTTTTATTTGTTGAATTGGAAATTGTTTTTTTTTTTTGCTTGTTAAGAGGAATTAAAAGGAAATTAGGGTTTTGAAAGTAATTTTTTTTAATTAAGAATAAAATTCAAATAATTGAAATAATTGAAATTCATATAATTGATAATTGTTAATGTCATATTATGAAATTCATGTAATTGAGAATTGTTGAATTGAAATTATGAAATGTCTATATTTTGAAATTTGAAATCAGAAATTGAAATTTTGAAATTATGATTGTGAATCAAAATGTCTATATTTTGAATTTTGAATTGTGAATAAACCAACCGATATTTGTTGAATTGGAAATTGTTTTTTTTTTTTTGCTTGTTAAGAGTAATTAAAAGGAAATTAGGGTTTGAAATTAGGGTTTTAAAAGTAATTTTTTTAATTAAGAATAAAATTCAAAAAAATGAAATTCATATAATTGATAATTGTTAATGCCATATTATGAAATTCATGTAATTGAGAATTGTTGAATTGGAATTACAAAATGTCTACATTTTGAAATTTGAAATCAGAAACTGGAATTTTGAAATTATGCTTGTGAATCAAAATGTCTATATTTTTTTAATCAAATTATGCTTCAGAAAATTGTTAATGTCTATATTTTTTGAATCAAAATGTCTAATTTCTACTAAATGTAATTATTAAACAAAAAATATTTAATTTTGAATGTATTTTATTAAAAAAAATTGTATTTACTTCAAAATAATAAATGAAAAGATCATGTTCTCTCAAATAAAAGATCATGTTCTCTAAAATATTTAATTTTGACTCTATTTTATTCAAAAAAAATATTTTTATTGACTTGAAAATAATATATGAAAATATCATGTTGTCTCAAAATATTTAATTTTGACTCTATTTTACTTAAATAAAAAAAATTTGGTTTAATTTCGTTTGGTTTATTTCACTATATTTGGGGTCAGGCACCCAGAATATGATTAAAAAAGTTAATGAGCTGAATTTCTAATGGGTATTGAACGAAGTGACTTATCGCCACTTCTGCTTTGTGACTGTCCACCACCATTGAAAAGGAAAATGTAAACATTATGTTTAAATAATTTTTATTTTTATTTATATAATTACAAGTCATTATTAGACTAGTTATAATATATGCATGAAAAGAGTCTTAAACTATTTTAATTAATAGTACATAGCAATTTCGTAGGTAAGAAGGAAAAAAAAATGGCACTTTGATTTGATGGGCTGTGTTTCGTAATACCAAATAATTGGTACGGATGGCCCGATAGATTCACATGGATAACTATTCAAAATTTAGTCCATACATTTAACCACCAACTTCAATTTAATTCTCTCTAATGGGTATTGAACGAAGTGACATGAATGGAACATATGATCAAAGTAAAATGATACACAAGGTAAAGTTTGTGAAACCAAAACGACAAATAGACAAACAAATCATAGTGCCTCTCAGTATCATGTCACAAAATTCAATTGTTCAAGCCTACATTTAATACCTTTGGATGTTCCAGCGCAAACCAAATTTTTGAATCGGAGACCTCAACTGACAAATCCAGGTTCCCATCTAATGTCCTGCACAGAATCTCATATATTGAATCTTCATTCTTGGATTGCACTTTAGCGTCCTACAGGAACAGAAAAAGGCAGATAGATAACATTATATGAAGATACATATAGGAAGTCAAGGAGAGAGAGAGAGAGAGAGAGAGAGAGAAGCCAAGCAGGTAATCAACACACCTCCAGAAATTTGTGAACTGCTCCAAGAAATTCAGCAGGGTAACTCTTATTGATAGAATCTAAAATTTGCTTGGCCCAGCTTCCTGACAATTATAACAGAATCACACTAAGAGAAGGGGGGGGTAAAGCGAAGAGCCAAAGATAACAGTGCAAAAGGAGCATCCAAAAGATGGACAGATTCAGCATAAACATAAATATGTGTTCCAGTCACTGAACAAATCTGTAGAACACAAACAACAAATAACACTCCATGAACCAAATAGACCTGATTCAGATGATATCAACTCATTCTTCCTCTGCGATAACCTCATGCAAGAATAAAGTAGCTTGGACACTATACGATCAACAAAGTGTTTTACAGAAACTGTCTCTATAATTGCTAATAAAGTAAAATGGCACAGTTCATCAGAAGAGCTGCAAGCAAAAGATAATTAGTTTGACAGTGCAATGAGAAGAAAATGACACAACCATAAAGGGGGAACTGTAAACCAATGCCCACACCTGTACTCAAGGAAAGAATCCAAAAAAACAGCCAAAAATTTATCGATATTGAACTCCTTGGTCATTCCAGCAAGAATCCCCGAAAGATCCCTATAAAATCAATTATAATGCTCCATAAGGACCTTTTAACTAGAATTAAACATAAAGTATCACCAATAAGATCCCTATAAAATCAATTATAATGCTCCATAAGGACCTTTTAACTAGAATTAAACATAAAGTATCACCAATAAGATCCCTATAAAATCAATTATAATGCTCCATAAGGACCTTTTAACTAGAATTAAACATAAAGTATCACCAATAAGATCCCTATAAAATCAATTATAATGCTCCATAAGGACCTTTTAACTAGAATTAAACATAAAGTATCACCAATAAGATCCCTATAAAATCAATTATAATGCTCCATAAGGACCTTTTAACTAGAATTAAACATAAAGTATCACCAATAAGATCCCTATAAAATCAATTATAATGCTCCATAAGGACCTTTTAACTAGAATTAAACATAAAGTATCACCAATAAGATCCCTATAAAATCAATTATAATGCTCCATAAGGACCTTTTAACTAGAATTAAACATAAAGTATCACCAATAAGATCCCTATAAAATCAATTATAATGCTCCATAAGGACCTTTTAACTAGAATTAAACATAAAGTATCACCAATAAGATCCCTATAAAATCAATTATAATGCTCCATAAGGACCTTTTAACTAGAATTAAACATAAAGTATCACCAATAAGATCCCTATAAAATCAATTATAATGCTCCATAAGGACCTTTTAACTAGAATTAAACATAAAGTATCACCAATAAGATCCCTATAAAATCAATTATAATGCTCCATAAGGACCTTTTAACTAGAATTAAACATAAAGTATCACCAATAAGATCCCTATAAAATCAATTATAATGCTCCATAAGGACCTTTTAACTAGAATTAAACATAAAGTATCACCAATAAGATCCCTATAAAATCAATTATAATGCTCCATAAGGACCTTTTAACTAGAATTAAACATAAAGTATCACCAATAAGATCCCTATAAAATCAATTATAATGCTCCATAAGGACCTTTTAACTAGAATTAAACATAAAGTATCACCAATAAGTTTTAAATTGAGCGCTTGCAATTCAAGCATGAGAATTACCTGATTTCTTTTAGGATATCCACAGCCTTCTTGGGGAACATTTCAACAGATTGCAACTACGCAAAAAAATTCCAAATGAAAGTGAGGGTGTGAACTGTAGTAAATTGTTTTCCCTGCTGCATTTATAAAATTATAGAAAAAACTATAAATATAAAAAAATAGCCTGTGTCAACCACTCTTAAACCTAATAAATGCCACAATTTATAAACCTTTTAACTACATAATCAGCTACAATCAAACTCTACACCCCTGTAGCACCTAAAAGCGAAGGAGGGAGAGCATATGACACATACGGCATAACAGCTAGGTCTAGAGGGAAGTTTTTTTTTAATAAGCAAATAAGTATTATATATAAGGGTAAATTACACTAACACCCCCTGAGGTTTCTGTTTAATACAGAAACCCCCCTCACATTTGAAAAATTACATTTCCCTCCCTGGGATTTGTAATCTCATTAAAAATTGCCCCTGGATTGCCGATGTCATACCCTAAAATTTTTTAAATGACCATTTTGTCCTTTTTCCTACATTTCTTTTTTCTATCGTCATGACTACATTCTACAACTTTCCATCATTAAATTCTACCTGAACATATTCTTATTGAGTGATAATATACAAACATAAATTTTATATAAAATTTTCAAATACAATGATATAACTTAATTGTGACCTTTCACTTTAAAACAAAATACATCATAAACATAATTTATATTTACAACATCACTATCACAACATTTTGAAGATATTTCGTATATAAATTTTTATATATGAATAGAATTTTTCATTTTTATTTCCACCATCATTTTTCTTTCTCATCTATTCACCCACATTTATTATAATATTACCAAACACCGTCATTCACATTTATTACAGTATTACAGAATTTTTATATTTTTTTTTTTTTTTTTTTTTTGGGGAATTAAAAAAGTTGTTTAAACAAAAAAAAAACCTTCTTGTACATTAAGCAATTCACTTACCTCCAATTTCTTGCTCCACCACTCATCAGATGCAGACATCGCTCCAGTCAATGTATCACGACCTAAGTCTGTCTCACCCCTTAACAAATTATTCCATAAAAGCCAATCTTTTTTCAACACATCCCAATGATTTTTCATTTGTATTCGTTGGTACGATTTTCCAGTCATACTTTTAAATTTAGTTATCATATTTTCCCACCCGACCCTATCTAAGTGTGTACCAGGTCTGTGTCCAACCTTCACTTGCTCAACACAAAGCTTAAAAAAAATTTCTTTTGATTTTGCATCCTAGTGAGCTTTAACGAATGGTACTTGACTTGATTTTCCCTTGTTCTTCCTATTTTTAGGTTGTGTTTCCTCTTGGGTACTCATTCTATGAGAAAGAAAAAAAATTAAAACAAACTCATTCATCAGTGCTTGCATTACAATAGCTAGATCAGTACAAAATAACCATACATGGCAACTATGTCAACATTCATTGGGTACAAAGCTTAGTGCAATAGTTCATGGTAAACTACATTAGCACAAAAACACCAGGTATCTCTAAACGGCACCTGTCATCATTTGAAGAGTAACGCAACTGACATAACAATATGAATCGTGAGCTAGTTAGTTAAAAGTATTGTAATAATTAGTTAATTAGTTTAGCTTCTTATTTCGGTTTGTAATAATTAGTCTAATTAGCTTAATTAGCTTAGCCTAGTTGCTAATTAGCTTAGCTTTATTCATTCAGACTCTCCTTCATGAGAGCAAAATGTAATAATGTGTATGTCGTCTAACTCCACGTCTTTCTCCCTTTTACTTACCCGCTTTTGATGGTTAGATTAGGGACATGTTTCAATTAGAATACCTTAAGCTTGCATTCATTTATTTGTCTTGCATGTGTAGACACCCCACTTTTGACCGTCCTTAAGACTTGGACATCACTGTTTGAACACTCAGTGATCATCCTTGTTTGTGTTCGTCTTGAGTTCCCGGA